AATTTCAACAATTTTGTCGTATTTAATTTTTAACTAATATTTCGCAATATATTTCACAATCAACTAATGTAAACTATTTTCAGTTTTCCCCTGGTTCTTATTTGAAGAAGTCGCGTTATTAGCCTCACGAAGAAAATTGAAAGTTGCAAATACATTCTACAAAAAAACACGCAGATTTCTGTTACATGGTTAAACCGAGTTTCATCTGTCATTGAGCTATGTTTAACCAGGTTGAACACGCTAGGTCGCTCTAGGTAGGGAACAAAGACGACAACTGATGAAATTTTCATAAAATTCGATTCCACTAAAATTGGAGTCTCGAGGCTAAATATGAATTTCGAATGATTTGCAGTTCTATGGATATATGACAAAAGCTCAGTATGCTTTACATGAAATTGAGAAAAGAAACGTTCTTAAGAATATTCATGAAAAGATTCATTAATGTCTACGTAATTTTATGAGAGATGAAAATAATATTCTGCTATTTTTCTTCCATAGGAAGAAAGACTTTTTTAATTTTTACAAAGATATCAAGGTAATCATATTTTTCTTCTCTTGTACTTTCTCATATATTTACACTGAATATTGAATAGCTGGAAGAATAATCACTACACACAGAAAATTATGCACAGCAGACAAATAAATCTTTCCACGCCTGTGTAAAATTTTGTATAATTTTTAAATGTTTTTGTGTGTTTTTTTATCTAAAATTTAAGATAAAACTATGAAATATTTTGAAAAATCTTTCCTTAATTTCGTGAATGATTTTTTTGGAAAATCATCTTCTTGAAAAAAATTTAATCATTTATGATTAACAATCGAATATCCTTGAAATATTCTTGTAATATTCAAAAGAAATTTCTTTCTAATTCAAAAAATTTTTTTATGCATTCTGTTTTATGAACAACAAATTCTCGTCATTAGAATAGTTTTTAAGATTATGAGAAACGTAATGGCAAAGAAAAAAAAGAAGAACTCTTCTCAATCAAGAAACTTTCTTCCATTGAGAACAAATAGGAACTTCTTCCCTCGATAGAGGGGAATATCTCGATCATGACTGCTTCATTCGCGGTTTCATGTTGGAATATTCACGTTGAAATGGGACAATCGATTGCGAGAGGTTGCTAGCAAGGACAGCCCAACCGGTTTTTGTAGGTCAGAAATCTCACTGTACGTTGGCCTGCATCAACCAGCTGGAAAAGTGAAAAAAATCACTTATTCTTGGATAGAGGAGAAAATTCCACAAAAATAGATCTAAAACTTATTATTTATACTGTCCACTTTGCGCTTCCATATTTCTCGAAGGTTCTAAAACAATTGTTGCAGTCAGAATGGAGAATCTCTTCGAAAAAAAAGGAGATAACAAGGATAATGAATCATAGTACAAAGAACTTCTCAAAAAACTTCTCTTTTTTCTTTCTTTTTTTTTTTTTTAAATGATGTGAAATGCATCGAGGCGTTTAATATAGATATCATTATCATGGAATTCTATTCATTCGTTAAATTGTTATTATTTTAATATCAGAATGATCTTATGACCAGATAAAGTGAAGAATTACCGTATGGATAATCTATCATGTCAACTGCAGATCCGTTTTGTATATAAAATATTGACATGAATGATGACAATGAAGAGCAATTATTTTTCCCAATTGGAAATTACATATCACTTTTGTTTCCGGATAAATAAACACGATTTTTAAGTTTTGTAAAGTATATTCGATAAAAATTTATTTTTATACGATACAAATAATATTTTCTTCATTTTAGAAGATTCTATACAAATAAATAATTGTATTAAGTTAGGTTAGGTTAAATTTTCAAAGTAAAAATTAAATGAAATCATTATTTAATTGAAAAGTAAGTAAATAGATATTATACCAATGAGTATAAAAATTATCTCGAGAAACAAAAAACAAAATCAGATTGAATAATAATTTAAAACAATTTAGCTTTTTGTTATTTCTGAATACAAAATACAGAATCATTTCAACAATCCAGAATTTGATCTAATAAAATGGATCTATAATAACCAAAACTAGATGTTATTATAAGTGTATAGAATTAAAAACAAATATTAGATTTTATCAGGAAATAGAATTATTCTACAATAATTTTATCATTAGCAGAAAACAAAATTACTCTAACGATAAAAGTTGAATTATATTAAAAAAGTGAGGAACTTTAGAAAATCAAAATTCGATCTTTAATAGAAAATAAAATTTTAAATTCATAAACAAAAGATTTTTACCAAAAATAAAAACAATTAAAAGATAGATATAATCTATGTTATATAAATGTTATTATGTATCTACAATAATCTTGAAGTATAAACATGAATCTTTTATTTCAAATATATTTTTTTCCATAAATAATAATAAAATTTTTAAAGAAAATTTGAAATAATTCATATATTTTCAAACATTTTAAATAAGATTTTTCTATCCTAATAAACATTTTTAAATAGACAAAGATTCATTCTTCGGAAATTTGCGAAAAACTCATGCGAATCATGCAAATTAAAGTAGATTATCTAATCTAATTTCTAACCTAATCTAATTTTTTCGAGAATAATAATATCAAAGTAACTAAGTTTTGTACATAATTTATAATATAATTTTTTAATGTTATTTATAAATGAAACATAGAATTCCATTAGAAATTATATATTCATTTAAAAAATTAGAGTTTATAGTCTATTATATTCATATGATCATAATATTGCATTCATTGATAAAAGAAAACTCGTTTCAAAAGAAGAACAAAATATAACAAATACTATGAGATTATGAGAATGAATATTAAATATAACTCACCTGATAAGCTGATCAAAGTCCTAGATTCCATGATAATTAGCCAACTATATCCAAGCTATTCTCTGTTCGTAATATAACGTTGTCTTTGTTAACACCATCTCCACAATCTTGTCCAATTATAGCATTACATATTAGTTTGCATAGTAGCACGATTATACCCTTTGTGAACAGTAACCTGGATTTCAATGGTGAAAATTCCACGCAGGAGATTCGAATTTCGATGTAACGTTTCAAATTTTGATCCGATTTCATCCATTCAATATGAAATGTAACTTAAATCTGTAATAAAAAAGATGAAATTTGTTAGAAAATTTTCTTTTAGCTTTGATGTTATCTAATTAATAAGCACGTAGATGTTTAGAATTTCTGAAGATTTTAGAATTCTTCGACGTTAGAAAACAACTCAAAATTTTTACGATTTTTATAATTCTTAAAATCTTTGGAATTTTTAAATTAAAAAATTTCTTGAAATTTTTTATATATTTTTGATATTTTTAAATATTTGATTTGAAAGTTTGATAAGGGAATTTGAAATTTTAATGAATTATATAATCTGCAATGAGTATTGGAAAATACATAGGTTGAAATAATAATTTAAATTGACATATATCAATTATAATTAGAAATTAATTATAATATATAATTAAATAAATATTAATATCTGTCGAATTGATGATGTTGACAAATGACTTCGTAGATTTTTTATTTGAAAAAAAATGAGATTATTAAAAAAAAATCAATTTTCGTAATTACAAAAAAAATTCATAAATAAAATATTTAATATAGGAATTAAAAATTTTAATGGAATGACAAAAATTTTACTCAAATATGTAAAAAATAATGTATTTAATTTCAATTAATTAAATATATTTAAACAAATTATTGAGCATTTAAAAAATTAATCATGCTATCATTAAAGTTATTTTTTACTATAAATTTGAAAGTCTCTAATAGCTAGGGGAAAATGATTTTCAGTTTATGGATATTAGAAAAGCGCATCTGGCGTCCTGTTACACGATTTGTGTGCCTGTCAACAGCACATAGTGATTAATCAGCAAAATAATATTCGATTAAAGTATCATCCAAGAATTAAAGAGGATTTCTATTACACGGTTAAACAGATTACATGATTTATTATGATTCAATTATATAAAAATTTAAATATTTATTTATATTTTAATATAAAAAAAATAATGTAATTCTAAATTATTAATTTTATTACATGGAGAAGAAAATATAGTTTAATAAAGTTTTTTTCAACATACCTCAAGCTCATTAATAAAAAGAGAATTAATTGATATATTATTAGCTCAAAAAATATCGGAATGAAAGAAATCTATGACCGAAGAAATTTTATTACTTTTTTTTAATTATAAAAAATAATAGAAATATTATTTATTTAAAATTTTAAATTATAGTTTATTTTTATAAATATTATTTTATTTGAAAAATAAAAACTTTCTTTTTTTACAAATTTTATTGCTATGAATAAATACTATGAATACTACATTCGCATATTTTTAATTTCTGATAATTCTATAATTCTTTATTAATGTGATGCAAATTAAATATGTATTTTAAATAAATAACTTAAAAAAAATTATTTTTATAAAAATTTCTCACTTATAAACACTTAAATCGATGACTAAATCATAGAAAAGAACCAATAAAAAAGCTCGGCGACATGCCACTTTGACAGTCATTTTGATTGGTTCGTATTCTGAGTTAAGAAAGCGGGGAATTTGAATTCGTATTTGATCACTTATTTTTTAATCTCGGGAAGCGTTATAAGTATTATATGTTTCTTTATGCAATATCTGTAAAAGTAGAAGATTTAACATTCACATAGCAAAGTAGTAATACAAATATTGCCTCCAATGGAGTTTGGCTATCAATCAAAAGATTATATTTTGAAGTGATATTTTAAGAGATCGATTAGATTAGATTGTAATTAAATAAATTATGTAAAAAAATACATGAAGTATATAAAAAAATTTCTAATGTTCAATAATTTCAACATAAATTCAAATTCAAGAAAACTTTTTAATAATTATAAATAATTATCAATTTTATATTTTATATTTATTTTATATTTTTCTAATCACATATTTTATTTTATATATTTTATCTTATATTACTAATAATAGTGTTATAAATAATAAACTAATCTATCCTAAGCTTAACTAAAATTAATAAATCATTCTATTAAAGTGATAAGAAAATAGAAAAGTTTAAAAAAGATATTTTAAAGACAAATCAGTAAATTTAAATTGAAATAGTGACAAATATTAAATGCGACCCTTATCCATGATGTTTGAGGTTAAACTCGTTTAAGCTTAAACTTTCGAGAAGTGTCTCGTTAAAACTTCTCATAAGTGTATAACTGCATAACTGACGACTTAAAGTCATTTTGAAATTGATTCTCAATTCTGTGAAAAAATCGTCCTGTTTTTCTCACTCAAATCGTAAATTAAATTGCCTTCCTCAACACCAAGTCATTCGTTCTGGTAATTATTTTTGCATGGTAATAAAATCATCAAAGAAACCGAAATAAAAAATCAAGTTTCCTCGTAAGATATTTATATAAAATATATAGATATAAAATATATATATATTTTTGCTAGATTTTCTTGTTTTTCAGAAACGAGGGGATAAGTTTTAAGTGAATGGATTCGAATCAAAAATAGTGAATGTGTATATAGAAAGATCATAGTTAAGAGAAGTTATATCTTATTAAGGTAAGGAAAAAAGATGAAATTTATTTTTTTTGAGATATTGTTTATCTTAATGATTTATCAACTTTGAACTCATGAAATTTTTATTTCAATATTCGATATGAATAATGACATTAACTGGAAAATATATTATTAATATCAAAAATATTTATTGAGGTTAGGATATGTTTAAATATTAGATTAAATTAGATATTTAAGAATAATTCAATTAAATAAAACTTTTATAATTAACTAGATATAAATATAGATAGATATTTGAATAAATAGAAAAAAAATGAATATTAATTTTCTAATAGAAATCATTCAAAATAAAAACTTTTATAGTCGTTTTTTTTGTGTCAAGATTTGTTAAATTAATTTTATTATTTCAATATTATTCAATTTCAATTTATATTTCAATATTATTAATTTTTAAAAACGAGAAAAAAAGAAATAAAATATAATAATTTTTTTTTTCATATATAACATTCAATTTTTTTTTATTCCAAGATTTTTTATATTTTATATAATCAAAAAAAAAGAAAAAAAAAGAAAAATAAATATTTTAAAAAAAAATCTACAGTTTTTTATTACATTATGAACTTTACCAAAGAAATAACTCAAATTCGAAGTTGGTCGAAGACTAACATTGCAGAAAAATTTAGTTTATTGTGAAATAAAACATGTAAATCAAATAGAAATGCAAACGAGAAAGTTCAAAAATGATTGTCGTTATCAATAATTGGACTAATTTCATTTCATCGAGCTTAAACGTTTGATCATGTTATAATTCCGATTCTCGAACGATTCGGTTCATTGAATAAACCACATTATTCAATTATGTATAACCTGTGACAACAATTGTGATACGTAAAAAAGCAATCAATGTTGGCCAACAATCATATTATCTTGCAATCATGTATTGTAATGATAAAACCGCAAAATTTTATAACACAGAATAAAAATATATTGAAATCTGATTTTTAAATTTCCGAATGCCGAATCTGAAATTTTATAAAAATTTTATAGTTATTTTTATTCAGTGTTACTATACTTAATAATACTTTATAAATACAACATAATAAAATTTTGGCTTCGATGTAACGTAATCTCATAATGAAACGAAATTTCAGGAACTGATGGCGTTCCAAATATAAAATTTTAGCTTCGAAAATTGGTTTTACTTTAGAATTATTAGGGCAATGAATTAGAGAACATATGATGGCTTGATCGAAATTTTATGCCTCAAGAATTACAATAAATTGTAATCCAGATTATCACAAATTTATAATTTTCAATGATATCTATTTTAGAATATTTATCTATCTATCTTTCGAATTCTAGTTATCAAATACAATCTTATTTATCGAGATATAAAATAAAAATAAAATAATTTTACGTGAAAATAAATTTCATAAATATTGTAATATTTTATCTGTATTTCATTTTTATTTTCCATCATAAACTTAAAAGAAATGGACTGAAATATTAAATAAATAAATTTTGATTTCTATATTTTTACTTTCTTTTTGTCATATAGAAAGATGTAAAATTTCAATACAATCATAATAAAAATTATCATAATAATCTAATTTATAGAAAACAGACTGAATTTTCATGGTTTTTTTAAAAAGGATTATAAAAAAAATTAAAAAAAAAATAATAAATTAATGATTTAGGAAAGAAAAGAAAAGAAAAAAGAAAGAACATTTTGGAAATTAATCGATAAAACAAATATATTAATTCTAAATGATTTGCAGATACCAATGGATTAAGATAATTACCTCCCATGCATATTTCATTAAATTCTCTCAACAGAAAGAATCGATCCATCGAACTATTATTTTCCAAATGAATTAATAAATAACTGTCGAATAAAATCTGACAGTTTTGACGAAAGATACTTTTCACGTTACAAAAATGATACGATTTCTTACGAATATTCTAAAAAAATGTCTATATATTTTTATTGAAATAAAAATAAAAAAAAAGTTCTATAAAGGGAATACATGCAAAAGGTAAGATATTTTTTTTTTTTAAATTTCTGTTTCTAATTTTAATATAAATATCCGATAAATCTTATTCTTCAAAGAGAACTTAATCTAGTTAATGATAGAAATGGTCCATTACATCATATTATATTGGTAATTTGTATTATGTAAATTGACATATTCAAAAGCTTAGAAAATTGCTTTGTGAAATTTGGAAACTTAAATAAGTAAATATTTAGTTATTACAAGTTAAAGGTGCACGAGTTAACGAGATGCCTGGAGGCGAGCAACCAACCATGAATCGTAGCCATAGGTATCGAAAATAGTGAATATAGATGAACACTGATCATACGCTTGTATGTTTTAATTTCCACTCTCAAATATCGAGAATATTATTTATATATATATTATTTATGAAGTCAGTATTTGAAACTATGAACATGTAATGTAATGAACATTATTATGTACATATGAAATCTGCTAATTCACATAGTTATGGTAATAAAATTGACATTATAATATTTTGAATTATTATATCGTATTATCATTGAACGTCAATGTGGTCATCGTTATTCAGAGGTGAATATTCCAACTCGGTTATTTTTTTTTTTCTATCAAAGCTCTGTCAAGAGAAATTTTAACGACATTAAGACATCGATAATAAAACAACAGTAACTATAAAAGCCACTCCGCAAAAACATTTCCATTTTGAAGATTGGTTTTAAGGAGATTATTTTAAAAGTGATCACAGTGACGTTCAGCTATAAAGTAGTAAAACACAATGAATTCGCTAACTTCGTTACTAACTCGTAAAAATATGAAATTCTATTCTATCGTTATTTCATTTTTATTTACAATATATATGAATATAGATAATGATGAGTTAGCGAAAGACATTTTCGTTTTTTCAAAAGATGAAAATTATAAGAATTCAAAAAAACTTAAATACCAATTTTTAACGTATCATTTCTTCAGAATTATACCCATTCGCGATAGGCACACAGCGAATAAATATCATATCACTCAACGATCAATTTCCTACAATGAATGTAACAATTTAGAATGAAATACCGGACTAAGCATGTGTTTCCTCGCCTTTCCTAATATTCGCCCGCTAATTAGCGCAATATCACGCGCCCATTATTCACAAGAGAAGCTCTGTTGCGAATCCATCATGACTATTGGGCCTTGACCTGGATGAACGCTTAATGATTGTTGCCAGAATGCAAGATCCCCTTGCGATTTTGTATGTGCGCGATCTTAATGGACGATATGGTGAAAATTTGATGAGGAAAACCGAATGGAAAAAGAAAGTTTCGGATTCTCGGATAAATAAATTAAACACGTTTCAGTACGGATGTGCAAACTGTGGTTTCTAATTACAGCTTGTTAAAAAGTTTTCTCTCTCTTGTAATTTGGCAACTGAGTGGAGCAACGTGTTGAGTAACATTGACAAGTGTTAACTATTTTATATTATATCGTAAAAATTGATATCATCATATATCTATATTAATTTTATAATTATATCATGCATTTTAATATTAATATAATATATTTTATTATTTTAAATATAATGATGACGTTAATTTTTGTAATCTAATAAATTTCAAAATTTGTAGATATATATACAGAATGTTGATATATTCGTGGACATCTTTGGAGAGTGGAGTTTTTTCTTTTTAGAATAGAAAGTTAATTTAAAGGAAACATAAAAAATATACATAAAAATATCAATTGAGATTTATTTGTTAAATTATAAATCATTTTGCATAAAAGTAAGATAGATTTATCTCCATTTCGCTTCATTTAGTGTAAATTTTATTTGTTTATAACTTAATAAATGAGCCTCAATCGAAATTTTTGCATAATAATTTTTCATCTAGAATTAATCTTATAAAAATATTCTATAAATATAATTTATTATATATATTAATATTATTTTGAAATTATATATTAATATTTATACTAATATTCTAAAATTAATGTTGTAGGTTGTAAAACAAGAATTTTACAAAAGTAAGAATCTCCAATAAGAATGTATTCATTCGAATACATGTCTACGGAGAATATTAAACATGGTTCAATGGCCACTATGATTTCAGAATTTCCAGAATCATGGAAGTCAAATTGAAATTTATGCAACACTGATTGCATAGTATTAGAAGGATGGAACTAAATATATCGACCTAATAATTTCTGCGTGGGCAAATTGTACGTGTTGGATATCAAACGAGAAATTATAATTTTGCCAAACGCCCTACAATTTCGATTCTATTCATTTTGGGTTCTTTGACCTTGAAGATCGAAGAAAGTTAATAACAATGAATGCATTGTTAATTGCAACTAAGAATTTCGAATTACTTTAACAATTTCTCATTTGAAAATTATGTTGGAAATTATAATCATGTGGAATTAGAATTTTATTCATTTTTCACGAAATTAATAATATTTTGTCAAACATTAGTAAAGTTAATTAAATATTTTATGTTCTATTAATTTTATTTTATGAATTAATAAAAATATTATGATTTTATGTTATAAAAATTTTTCTTTTTCTATTTTTTAACATTAATGAAAAAATCTTGATTCTATTGTTTAATAAAGAAATAGATATAATTTTTTTTTATAAGACTTTCTAAACTCGTTAACGCACTATGTAATTAAATATCTAATTAAAACTTCTCGTTTTTTCCTTCTTTAAAATCCAATAATAGAAAGAGAAGAATCGAATTCAATAAAAATCGAAGAAGTAAATTATCTTTATCGTTAGAGAAAATTACTTTAACAGGACACTATTATTTCATTTATAACGCTTTAGATATGTCACATGTTCTAATTTTGCTTACAATTTAAAATTTTATCAATTGACTTTAACATTTAGATCTAATCCATACCATGAAGTGATTAGTAAACTGCTCTAATTGAAGAGAAATAACAAGATTAATTAGTTTAGACTATATTATATCTAATAATTCATGTGAATAAAAATAGAACCAAGTAGAATAAATCCAAAATGATCAGACCTAATAATGAATATAAAGTTAGTGAAGATTCAATTAAATTTTTTAAGTAAACATCTTTTACTATTTTGTATAATAAGAATATGGATTCAAATTATTTCTCTCTTACATTTAATAAAAAATAATTATTTTGATATAAATTGATAGCAATTTCAAATTCGAAAAATTCATCAAAAATTTTAATTTTATCATTATTTAATAAAAACTTAATAAGTATTTATTATATTGAAATATTTATTTTTTAGCAATAATTTTATAATTTTATAATTTTTTTTAATTTCTTTAAAATTATGAGATCCATAATAAGAAAAATCAATCAAAATATAAATAATCCGAATGCGAAACATTTCACAAAAACAAAAATAAGGAAAACATTTCTTGTATACAAATAACTTAATATTGGTATATGTGTGTATTGTATAAAACTTGTATAAAATTTCTACATACAAATCACGCTACACATTTGATATTGCATTTACAATGTCGCAGAACTCCGATAAAATGCAAAATAAAAATTAATTATATTTCGTATGTATAAAATGCTAATATTGTCGATAATAGAAAATAATTGCTGATGAAGAAAATGGTATTGGTAAGAGAGATGAATATCGATGGAATTGCGAATAATTGGAAATCATGAGAATGTGTATTAATTCGATGTACACATGAATAATTACGCATTGAAAAATTTCAACGAAGATAGATGAGTGTTATTTTCAATATTCATACATATAAAATGTTTCTTTGACTTTCATTCGATAAATAAAAAGCATGTCTTTTGTCTGTTAATGAAATAGAAGAAATGAGAAATTAATATTCTGTAGAATTATTGACATAATCGTAATGATTGAGAAAAATATTATCGATAATTAACATATATATATATATATATGTTTTTTTTAATAATGATTAAAAAGCATAGAATATATTTGCAAAGGTTAAAAATTTATGTTGTTTTATTATTATAAGAGAATCTATAAAAAAGAAAAATGAAAAATTTAATCTGAAAATGAAATGTCAAAAATATATGAATGTTGTATTTATTGTGTTATTATCGATTTGGTGAATTATCGAATTGATCAAAAAATCATAAATTTCTCTGAAAACTATAAGAACTCTAAACAAATAACTTCATCTAAGTCTTATTACTCTTTAATATCAATGAAATCTCGATCAAATACTTGTTTCTTTCTCAATCAAACAAATAATAATAAATTAGATTAAATAGAATTTAAAATCAAATTCAATCGTCGTTTAAAAATTGCGTTATCGATGATTTTAAATCGATTCTAATCAATTTAATCCAAATAAATAATTCATTAAATATTTCAAATAATAAAAAAATCACTTAAAAAGAATATACTTTCTATTATTAAAAATAACAATTAGAACTTACCACATGTTATGAAAAAGATCTTTTAATTAAGCACACGTTAAAAATTAAGAAGAAAAATAAAAGTTTAACAATAAATCACGAGAAACGACGCGAACGTGACAAAGTACGCGCGTCAACTGTTCCAAATGTGTTAGGGACGCGACTAGTCGCGCAATCACACTTCTACCCTATCGCCATCTAGTTACAGGACTACATATCACAATATAAATCCTTATTCGCGCTGAATATATTAGATCAACACAGATTGACGAAAAATTATCTTATGATCAATAGATCTTTTATTAGCTATTTAAACAAACTCTAGCTAAAATATTTGAAATATTTAAATGATTTTATTTTTGGAAACGACAAGTGGTAATATTGAGTTTCATTGTATTAGTGATTTAAGATTGTAATTTATTGTAATTTATAAAGAATTACTTTTACGTGATAAGTATTTATATAGATGAAAAAATGAAAAAAAAATTATAAAAAATAATTTAATTATTTAATTAAAAATTAATTAATTAAAAATTAATTTTTATCTAGAAGAATAAAAACATATTTAAAAAAATGAAAAAATTGTTTAAAAAAAATGTTATATTTAAAATTTACCATTATTTTTTAGTGGAATAATAATAAAATAATAATAATATTGATTAAGATTATTGTTATCAAAAAAATTATTATTTAATAAAATTTTAAAATTGAATTTATATATTTAAAATTTACTAAATTTTAAAACATAAGAAATAATTATTTGAATATACTTTTTTGAATTTAGAGAGTTGATTAACAATAAAACAAAATTTCTCTCGATTATTTATATATATCCTCTTTTATACTTATTCTATAGAGTTCTTTTTCAAATTTTAATTCTTTTTTAATTAATTTCAAATCTTTTTATAGATCGATTTTCCCATTTTGTATGAAAAATTATTTAGAAATCCATATATATTAAAAATCATCCATATATTAAAAAATACAGAAAATAATATGATTTATGTTTATACAAATTCACATGAGAAATATAATTCATAAAATTATTCTATGTTTTTCCCATCAACATGTTAATCCAAATTTTCAATCATTCGAAATTACATCTCGACGATTGAAATTATAATTCTAGCATTGAATTCCGTAATCTAAAATCATCCCTGTACGTTATACGTAATTCCGATTACGCAAACGCGAGGGAAAGAAGATAAATTAATTAAACGGATCGTTGATTACGAAACGTAAAGGGATGGATGGATTGTTAATTAATTCTAATAGTAGGAAGGACAACGTCGATCAAATGAATTCCTATTAATTCCAAAATACAGTATCCTCGATTGAGTTGTTCACGTGTCGATCTCACGCGGCCTATGGGAACACGTGATATATCATAGCCACGTGACAAAAAGGGGAAGAATTCTTTCTTTCCGGTGAAAAGCAAATCAGATCTTTCTTACCGCGTGACTATGATTTTAATAGCTTCGAATGTTTGCATAACGCTTATAATAGGAAAATCCTTCTAACCTTTTCAATCGAGGATCAATTACAGTTGGTTGCATAATTGGAAATGAAAGATGGATATTTTCTAAATTTAAAAGTTATTTCAGAAAAAGATTATTTCGAGTTTGTTATTATTATTAATTTATAAATTTATATATAAAAATGTTATTTATGTTAAATTTAAATTTAACAAAAAAATAATGAATTCGATAAAATTAGTATTTTTCATTTATTGAACGATGGAAAAAAATATGCATAGATATTTTTTATTAGATGTAACAATAAATGAAGATGTAGTAATATGTATAATGAAATATAGTATAGTATATGCCTTGAAACATGTTTTTCGCTTAATATTAAAACAATTGTTAAAAATCTAAATAAATGAAATTTTTTTTTAATCTTTTACATCTATATTTGTTACATCATAAAGATTTTGAAAAAAATAGTTTTTTTATGAAACAGTTTTAATTTAATGATGTAATATAAAAAAATATGAAAGATTAATGTAATAATTATGTAATATAATAGAATAATGGAAAATTGGAAGAAAAATGGAAAATTCATGTCATTGTAGAAAATACCTTCAATAATGAATTGTAATGATGAAAGGTTTATATAATCGAATATTATTAATTGAATAAATATAAACCTATGATGTTCTACTTATTAGAATCGCACTTCAAAGCTTGAAGTATCTTGAACAGGAAGACACCAACTGAAAATAAAAAAAAAAATTAAAACAAGAAATAATTTATTTATAAAAAATAATTTTATTCAACAATTGAATTTTCAATTAGAAGATTTATTTATTCGATTAATCATTCAATTATTTTTTATCAATATTAATCATTTTTAATTATTTATATGTCATAAAAATAAATTTGATTATCAAAATCATCTATCTAGGATCCTTCGAATAGATTTTATTTTATTTTCAAAATAATATGATATAAAATAATGTAAAATAATGTAAAATAATATAAAAATAATGTAATATAGAAAAATGACTATTTTCATCAATTTTTATTTATTTATTTTTTTTTTTTTATTTTTGAGAGAAAAGCAATTACCATTGAATTAATTATAATTAAATATCTATTGGGATTTTCTATAAAATTGGAACAATATTTTTTTTAAACAAAGTTATTTAAAAATTTAGTATATAGAGGTATTTTTTTTTAGATAAAATATTTATTTATTATATAATCGTGACGAAAAATAGATTTTAAGTTATTTTATATGCATAAAAAAATAGATTTTTAATAAATTATTTAAAAATGTTAAAAATAAATTCATTAAAAATTATTTAAAGATTATTTATATTATTTTTTATTATTTTTGAAATGCTATAACAAAAGAATAAAATTACAAAAACAAAAAAATAATAAAATTTCAATAATAAAAAATATAAAGCAAATCTCAAAAAAACTAATATCAAAAAAAAAATTAACATAAGATAATAATAATAAATATATAAAAAAAATAGCAACAATAAAAAATAGAAATTTCAGTAATAATAAAATTATATAATTGATAATATTGATAATAATCAATATTATAATGTTTTTAAATGATTTAGAAAATTCTAAAAAAACTAAATCTCTTCTGAATAATACTTTACAAATTATAAAATAAATGCGAAATGAGAAATTTACGTATCGATGTAACATTATTCTTCATTGTCATAATTCTACTAATTATATTCTTTATCCTAGAATCTTAAATCAATTTGAAAAGCAACTGGAAATCTCGATAAATCAATGCGTAAAATCGTTTTGTTTCT